GATTGTGTTAATTTGATTCCAGGTGTGTCTCGTTCCTCCCCAATTATCCTGCCTTTAATAGCCCTAGTCCTTTCAGTTCTTGTTTGTCGGGACTACTTGTTGAATGTCCTCCTTGTTGTCGGTTTTCCTGTGGATTATTAAAGGCTGTGTTATTCAAGAACTCCTCGTTTCCTCGTTCCTTGCTCCCCAAGTGAATTGTGACAGGTACATCCCTACAACTTAATACACGAGGGAGAAAGCCATGGACGGTGTCAGCGCGGAGAGGAGCTCCGCCCCCTGCACCACGGCTGAGGGTGAGCGGAGTATGGCGCAGCAAAAGGGCCAAAACGAGGAGGGGGATCTAATAGACTGGGAATCTGATATGGAGATCAAACTGCCCCCTCTCCTCTCTCCGTCATCTCCGCTGGTCCTGTCCTTGTGTTAATTTGATTCCAGGTGTGTCTCGTTCCTCCCCAATTATCCTGCCTTTAAAAGCCCTAGTCCTTTCAGTTCTTGTTTGTCGGGACTACTTGTTGAATGTCCTCCTTGTTGTCGGTTTTCCTGTGGATTATTAAAGGCTGTGTTATTCAAGAACTCCTCGTTTCCTCGTTCCTTGCTCCCCAAGTGAATTGTGACAGAAGACCCGACCCAAACAGTTACCTCCGTTTGTACCCTCCATTTAGTTTCTCTTTTTACTCAGTTTTTTGTTTCTGTTGTGTGCCCTATGGATCCCCTCCTTCAACCCGAATTCATCCTCCTCCTGCTGGAGCAGGGGGAAAATTCGCTCGAGGGTCATACCAGACTGTTTCTGGCTGTGGCCCATCTCACCACCTATCCGGAAGACGCGTTCTATGACGCCAGCCTCCATGCCCTCCGTTCCCCGCCGGTTCCCAGGAATTAATTGCCAGTGCCAATCCCGACCCAGAGCCCAGTCCACCATCTCCCCGATGCACGGAGCGCATGCCCGAGCCCACCGCTGATGGAGAGCCATCGCCTACCGCGACCGACGAGCCATCGCTAGAGAGAGCGACAGAGCTAAGGATCGCCGCGGAGCCAGAGGCCGTGACGTCAGTCAAGGTGTGTGAGCCGGCAACAACGCCTGCCACGAGGGAGAAAGCCACGGACGGTGTGAGCGCGGAGAGGAGCTCCGCCCCCTGCACCACGGCTGAGGGTGAGCGGAGTATGGCGCAGCAAAAGGGCCAAAACGAGGAGGGGGATCTAATAGACTGGGAATCTGATATGGAGATCGAACTGCCCCCTCTCCTCTCTCCGTCATCTCCGCTGGTCCCGTCCAGCCCTCTCACACAGAGCCTTTCACGTTTGCACTCACGTGACTTGCTGCATACTCTCATTCACGTCCTCCACATTCGCATATTGTTACCTTATACCTACACGGAGGTACTGAATAGGTACACTGTAATTACAAAAAAGTTACGCTGTAAATTCTGTTTACTTACGCAGTACATTGCGGGTTGTAATCTAAAGTGTTACCTCAATCACTAGAAGCATGGAAAATAGCCTTTAAGCATAATATTTCTCCACACACATGCATACTATGGAATAACCAATTTGTGTTGTCTAAAAACAAGAGTATATTTAAAAAAGAATGGTTTGATAAGGGAATTATATTTATTTCAGACTTATTGAATACTAACGGTGAGATTTATACTTATCAGCAATTTGTTTCTTTCTCAGGGATTGAATATTCCTGTAGAGATTATAATTTGTTTGTGAAAAGCATTTCCCCTAAATTGCTTTACCTTGTGAAAATACATCTCAGTTATAATTCAGCTGTCTGACAAATTCCAAATCTTGTTATTGGAGGTATGAATATCATGGATATTAAGTCTAATAACTCACATATCAGAAAATGACTTACTCATGATGTCAGCTGTTACCCAAAAGCACTCATAAAGTGGCAACTAATACATTTTTACTGCCAAATAAGGCAAAGGAAATAGATTTTAAGATATTGCATAGGTACTATCCCTGTAACACATTTATTAACAAGTTTAGAAAAGATGTCTCACCAAAATGTTCTTTTTGTAATTTAGAAAATGAAAAACTTACACATTTATTTTGTAACTGTAGATATTCTGAAGACTTTTGGAAGCAGGTGTCTATGTTGGTTTTTGATATATTTATAAAATAATTAAAATAGATGAATCTATGATCCTTTTTTTGAACTGTAACACTGGATCAGATGTAGTTGATAACTGTCACGAATCCTGTCCATGAACTTCCGTCTGCTTGCCACCAGAGGTCGCCCTCCCATTATATTGACTCTCACACCACACAGACTGTTACACATCATCCTGGACTACATTTCCCATGCTCCATTGCACTAATCACAAGCTCACCTGAAACTATCTGAGTCTTGCCTTGTCTGTTTTCTCGTGTTCTGATCATTACCGGTATATCTCGGATTACCCCTCTCATCTTGCCCTGTTCAGATACTGTTTGCCCCTGCCTGAACCTTTGCCTTGTACCTGGATTATCCCTCTAGTCTCGCCCTGTTGGAATACGTTTGCCGTCGACTGACCCTTGCTTGTTTACAGGACTGCTCTTGCCTTGTCTTCTACATACCAGTTTGCCATTGTCTGACCCATGCCTGTTTCTGACCACGTCTTCTAAATAAAGCTTGCAAATGGATCCGCACGTCTCACGTCTCTTTCGTCCCGTAACAGAAACATTTTAAAGGTGATAATTCTTCTTGGGAAGTTCCATGTACATAAAGCAAAGATAATGTCTATTACTCCCTCTTTTAAGTTTTTCTGTAAAGAACCTAAAATATTTTATGAGTCATTGATTTCAATCACTAGGAACAAGAAATATATAAAAACGTCTCTCATATTAAAAAATGTTATTTGTAAAATTTAATGTTTTAACCTCCATGATGTATGTTTTTTATATGTATCCCCCATTTTTATTTGTGTTCTGTTTGACGTTAAGTATCTCTGTATGTTTGCTTTTGAAAGAGAAAAAAAACTAGAGCAAAAAAAAAAAACTAAAGAGTGAAGCAGAATGAAGTTCAGGTCCAAACACTGAAGCACAGCAGAAACACACTGACCCCTGTTGGACACACTGTATATGCTAGCGCTCCACACCAACCCTACACCTACATCTACCCCTCACAGGAAACTTTCTGCATTTTTACATTATCAAAAAAACTAATTCTGTATGATTTATAGGCTTGTTTCCTCATAGGGACCAAAAAAATGTTCGCACAAGGACAAGTATTTTGGATATTGCCATTTTTGTGGGGATATTCTTTCCCCATAATGTAGGGTATACCTGAACACACACACACACACACACACATTAAACCATTAGTTCATTTTTTAATGGCATACTAAACATTTTTACATTAAGCATTTAAAAAAAAGTGGGGTGACAAATGAATTTCAAAAAGTACAAGACTATTTTCGTTGAATGTCATGTAATTGCTTATAGAATAATATCAGCTATAGTAGCATGAAATTGATGTCATTTACATGTTTTAACACAAATAATTACAAGCTTTAACTTAAAAGTAAAAAATGCACATAATAATTAAATGCATGACAATTAAAACAGCGCTCAAAGAGAGAAAAGCAAACGCATTGTCACTCAGGACTCACACACACACTGATCTTACTGTCTATATGAGGATTTATTACACACATTTATTCTGACATGTTATTTCATTGACAGAAGTTCAGCTGCAGTATTAATGTCATGAAGAGAAAAGAAGAGACTCTATAACATCTCACTGTTACTGATTCATCATGCAGCTCAAAGCATTATGGGTAGAATCTCTCGTCAGTCTATTCTGATTCATCAACACAGTTTCACTGATGATTCAGGATCAACTCTAAATCCAGGATAGAGCGGCTGAGTGAATGTGGTCTGGGCTGTGTGGATGAGGCTCATTGTGTCAGAGACGCTGTAGAAGGACAGAGTTCCTGCACTGTGATCCACAAACACTCCTATTCTGGGGGTCTGAATACTTTCCGTACCCACTGTAAAAGAAGAGACTCTATAACATCTACTGGTAATGATTTATCATGCATCTCAAAGCATTATGGGTAGAATCTCTCGTCAGTCTATTCTGATTCATCAGCACAGTTTCACTGATAATCTAGAACCAAAAATACTAAACAACCCAAACCCAGGATAGAGCGGCTGAGTGAATGTGGTCTGGACTGTGTGGATGAGGCTCATTGTGTCAGAGACGCTGTAGAAGGACAGAGTTCCTGCACTGTGATCCACAAACACTCCTATTCTTCTGCTGATGGACTCTACAGAGAGAACAGTCTTTATGTTATTGTGTCTGAATGAGTAACTGGAGGGAGAGCAGATCAAACTCTTGTCTCTCAGGTGATGAACAGATTCTCTCAGAGCATCAGAAGAGATGAGAGAACTGAAGAGATCGTCATTTACGTCTGTAGATTCAGGAGGAGCTGAGAGGTACTGGAAACTCTACAGAAAACAGAAATCAAAACTCATCAGCTCCACACTTAACCAAATAACCTGCAGGAACATCAGATTTGACTCGACTGATCTTTAGTAACTCTCCTCAATCCAGCACTTTCACAGCATCAGCTTCATTCTTCTCATATTCATTACATCACATTAGAGCTCTGACTTCATGTTTGGGGTCTTCATGATCAAATTCATCAATGTGTTACAGGCAAATAAAAATCAGTTTTATCAGGTTTGAGGGTCACCTGATCCAATTTTGATGAACGTTACTCAGAATCAGTACTATCAAGTTCACTGATTTCACCATGATGTAATAAATCAGAAGAAAAAATTAGGAAAAACTTAAAATGTTACTGAAGTTTTGAACAGTTGGTGGCGCTAGTGGTGTTTGACAGCTAAATATATCTTCCAGAAGAAAGAGCTGAGAGAAATGATTGCTAAGAGATTTCCAGAGCTGAAAGCCATTTGTAACTGATGCAAGTTTATATATTTTGTCAAAGAACCGATGAATAGTTCACTCCATTATTTTATGTTGCTTAATCAAGGTCTGTTTTACGAAAGATTGTTAATATGGTGCTGATATAAACACATATGAAACGTGTGTCAGCAATATTTCATCAGTGTCTAGTTTTAAATACCTGTTTCTCTGTCCTCTGTGCTGCAGCTGATACAGTGTTGTGGTTTTTATGTTCATATTTTGTACACAGCACACAAATGCATTGTTGGTCAGTAATGCAGTACATTTCCAGGTGTTTCTCATGTTTCTTGCAGATCATCTCCTGCAGTCGTCCAGTGGCTTCAGTCACTTTGTGTGGCTTACGTGAATGAAACTCCTCATGACGGTCAAAATGAGATTGACAGTAAGATTCCAGACACACCAGACAGGACTTGACGGCTTTGTTTTTTCTTCCAGTACAGACGTCACACTGCACATCTCCAGCTCCAGCGTAACAGTCAGCAGAGAGTTTGGTCTTCTTCAGTTTCTCCACCACTTCAGCCAGCATGGTGTTTCTAGCTAAAGCAGGTCTTGGACTGAAGGTCTGTCTGCACTGAGGGCAGCTGTAGACTCTCTTCTGATCCTCCTGATCCCAGCAGTCTGTAATACAGCTCTTACAGTAACTGTGTCCACAGGGAATGGCCACTGGATCCTTCAGGAGATCCAGACACACGGCACACATGAACTCCCTCTTATTTACTGAAATTCTGTCTTCTTCCATTTTACTGCTTGAACACAGAGACACAAACACACAACAGCTCAGCTACACTTCAGTTTCTCTTTCCCGGAAATCAGGTGATTCCTGGTTCTGTGTTTGAGTGACGTGTGTAAAACAGGTGTGTCTGTAAAGCAGCTTCCTCATTCCTGACAGAGCCTCTCTCTCTCTCTCTCTCTCTCTCTCTCTCACACACACACACACACACACTCTCTCTCTCACACACACACACACACACACTCTCTCTCTCACACACACACACACACACACTCTCTCTCTCACACACACACACACACACACTCTCTCTCTCACACACACACACACACACACACACACACACACACACACAGTAAAATCATAGTAAATTAAATACAAAATCAATGGTTTAACATGCTTGAGAATCTTTCTGTTATTTTGATCTTGCTTTTTTTCTATAAAATTTCTAGGGAATGTTTTTGGACTTTCCATTGAAAATAATGGAAATCAATTAAATCCCAAATTAATAATGCATCAATAAAATGATGCAGGAGAACCATGTCAGAAACTCTCATCCAAGTGTGTTTGATTCCTTTATAATCATTCACCTTGTAACTGTGTTCAGTTTTAACACTGTAAAATAATTAAATACAAAAAAATTGAAAATAAATCTAAAATCAACATAAAATCAGGTGCTGGAGAATCTTGTGTGATTTTGCTCTTTTCTCTGTCAGTGGAGGCTGATACAGTGTGTCTGCTGTTACTATGGTTACCGTGGTAAAGTGTCAGTATGATGTGAGACTGTGGCTCCCTCTGCTGGTCACACTGTCAATCACATCCATGAGTGATTAATCAAATCACTAAATAAAGATCATATGAGTATGATTTCAGTCTGTATCTGTTTTTCATATTTTGATATTTTAAAGATTATAACATGTACAACACTGAACGTTTTGTGCATTTATGACACTATATTTTGTGTTTTGTTACCTTGAAAAAAAAAATACTAGTTAACACTTGTTTGCATGTTTCTGATACATCTGCAAATTTGACATCTTTCTCTCTTCTGACCAGAACAATCAATCTCATGATATTTTTTAAAGTCCTAGAAACGCTATTGTGGAGCAAATGAGAACACACGTTTGCCTTCACCACTAGAGACGTTTATAAACTATGATGACCTGTGCTTCTGAGAACCTCAGAAATGTCCATCAGACACTGAGAAAACATCTAGTGGAAGATCAGGAAATATTAGAGATGTAAATGTTGTTTCATCAGAACACATGGATACGGTCAGGAAGATACTCTTTGCCCACTAAATGATGTAGTACCGACAGTAACCAGCAGAGATCAAACAACCAAATAAACCTTGAGCTCTGATGTCTGCTTCATCTGCTTCAGCTGCTGTCAGCACGAACAGATCCTGCTTCTATCACTATGAGCTGTTTAAAATACATTAATTACATTAATGATCAAGGACACATTAAATTGATCAAAAGTGATGATAAAGACTAATGTTACAAAAGATTTGGGACTCAGAGAGGTTATTCAGATTATTGGTGAGATTAACCACAGCCAACAGTGTACTCACAACACTGTGAACTTTGAATATGGCAAGGTTGGGCGGCCAAAAGTACTGTTACCAGAAGAACGTCTTCGGGATCTAATTGCCATGTCTCTACCAGTGCCCTGCATTGCAAAATTGCTAGGAGTGAGCACAAGGACCATACAACGGAGAATGTCAGAAATAGGGTTGGCAGTGAGAGACACATACAGTAGTGTTTTGGATGAGGAGCTGGATGCATTAGTGTCAACAGTTAAATCCAGACACCCTTATGCTGGATATAGAATGGTGAAGGGTTTGCTGCAGGCTATGGGGCATAGAGTGCAGTGGGAAAGGATCCGGGCATCCATGCACCGAGTTGATAGTGCAGGCATTATTTCTAGACTGACACAGTTAGGGTGTGTTGTTCGTAGGACATATTCTGTGCCCAGCCCAGGAGCATTGATGCACATTGATACCAACCACAAGCTCATACGGTATGCATATGCTCATCCTGAAACTGTAACAGAAATTTTATTATCTGACCTTTGATTTTCATTGTTTAAACTTTATATAAATTTCTCTAAAAATAGATACAACATTGTGATCTTCGGGGGTATCGATGGCTTTTCTAGAAAGGTATTTAAGTATATTTTACTACCCAACTTCCTAAAAATGTCAGGGTCTTTAAATGTAACCCTGTCTAATTATGGGAGCAAATAAAGTAGTCATAGCCAAAAAATGACAAAATTAGGTCATTTGTGTTTATAGCTGTAAATTAAAGATTATATGATAGATTTCAATATAGAACTGTCAAATTCACTGAAATTATATACAATTTATTGACTCTACATTTTATTAATTTGCACAGAAAATATCGGACATTGGCTTCCTAAACAATAATTTCAATCTTTGTCTTATTAAGTCAATATTAAAGATATCAAAATTACATTGTCACAGAATGTACTCAGAATAATTGTATGTAGAATATATTAAATCACAAAAAAATACTTCAGCTGGCTTTACTCAGGCAGGGTTTCACATTTCATATTGTATTGATATCAGAATCACACACTCTAGACTGAAATTGCCTATTTTTCATATGTTACACAGATCATGTACCTAGATGTTGCAACCAATAATCTGGCTTCAACCACCCTGTACTTTTTCCAGCGTTCTGTTCAAAGATTTGTTCTTCCACTTCGGTAAATATTGCCTATAATTCATTTGCTTTTGTGTTAGAGCAGGGTGCCAGAGTCTGCACTAATATATTATCCTGAACACATACATCAACTGGTTTGCAAAACACAAAATTTGTCACTGCCAAAACTTTTGGCCACAACTGTATATTTTACTACACAACTTCCTAAAAATGTCAGGGTCTTTAAATGTAACCCTGTCTAATTATGGGAGCAAATAAAGTAGTCATAGCCAAAAAATGACAAAAGTAGGTCATTTGTGTTTATAGCTGTAAATTAAAGATTATATGATAGACTTCAATATAGAACAGTCAAATTTACTGAAATTATATAAAATTTATTGACTCTACATTTTATTAATTTGCACAGAAAATATCGGACATTGGCTTCCTAAACAATAATTTCAATCTTTGTTCAATATTAAAGATATCAAAATTATATTGTCACAGAATGTACTCAGAATAATTGTATGTAGAATATATTAAATCACAAAAAAATACTTCAGCTGGCTTTACTCAGGCAGGGTTTCACATTTCATATTGTATTGATATCAGAATCACACACTCTAGACTAAATAACTGCCTATTTTTCGTATGCTACACAGATCATGTACCTAGACGTTGCAACCAATAATCTGGCTTCAACCACCCTGTACTTTTTCCAGCGTTCTGTTCAAAGATTTGTTCTTCCACTTCGGTAAATATTGCCTATAATTCATTTGCTTTTGTGTTAGAGCAGGGTGCCAGAGTCTGCACTAATATATTATCCTGAACACATACATCAACTGGTTCGACTTTGTTTTACTAGTGGAGGATAAACTAATCTGTTGACTAACAGGCTTTGACATCCCTGTGTGAGAGTGTGCTGATGTCTTTCAGATTGACAACCGCAATCACATACTTTATATTTTATTAGAAGTAAAATTGGTATTTGTACTAGTGTAAATGAATGTTTGTGGTAAAATAGCCACATTTAAAATGTTCTATGTACATAATTGTTTTTAGGGTTAGGGGAGACCAAGGGGTTGAAAATGTAGAAGTGGCCTGTATGATGTTCTCTGTTCGAGGTACAGGAAGAAGCAGCTTCATTGCAGGGAAGAGTGTCCACAACCAAAGGTGCAGTGATGTATAAAGAACCTGAAAGCCATACTCAAGTAAAAGTACAGGTATCTTACCAGAAAATGATTTTGGTAGAAGTTGAAGTCACCGTTTAGAATATTACTTGAGTAAAAGTCTTAAAGTATGTGATATTTATTGTACTTAAGTACGAAAAGTATTTTTTAAAATCTTAAACATACTTAAGTATTGAAAGTAAAAGTACAAGTAAATGCAAAATGAAAAAGAAGCAAATAAATATATATATATAAATGTTCATACACAGCTTGAGTAGCAAGATTGTGTTCAGTTTTAACGCTTTCATCCATTTTGTATTTTTGGGTAAGAATAAGAAGCACTTCATCCGGTACTTAATGTCTTTCATTCCAACATTAGAAAACATTTCTGGAATCTGCATCTGAAATAGCATTTAGATGTATTTACACAGTTGGCGGCCAAAAGTACTGTTACCAGAAGAACGTCTTCGGGATCTAATTGCCATGTCTCTACCAGTGCCCTGCATTGCAAAATTGCTAGGAGTGAGCACAAGGACCATACAACGGAGAATGTCAGAAATAGGGTTGGCAGTGAGAGACACATACAGTAGTGTTTTGGATGAGGAGCTGGATGCATTAGTGTCAACAGTTAAATCCAGACACCCTTATGCTGGATATAGAATGGTGAAGGGTTTGCTGCAGGCTATGGGGCATAGAGTGCAGTGGGAAAGGATCCGGGCATCCATGCACCGAGTTGATAGTGCAGGCATTATTTCTAGACTGACACAGTTAGGGTGTGTTGTTCGTAGGACATATTCTGTGCCCAGCCCAGGAGCATTGATGCACATTGATACCAACCACAAGCTCATACGTTATGCATATGCTCATCCTGAAACTGTAACATAAATGTTATTATCTGACCTTTGATTTTCATTGTTTAAACTTTATATAAATTTCTCTAAAAATAGATACAACATTGTGATCTTCGGGGGTATCGATGGCTTTTCTAGAAAGGTATTTAAGTATATTTTACTACCCAACTTCCTAAAAATGTCAGGGTCTTTAAATGTAACCCTGTCTAATTATGGGAGCAAATAAAGTAGTCATAGTCAAAAAATGACAAAAGTAGGTAATTTGTGTTTATAGCTGTAAATTAAAGATTATATGATAGATTTCAATATAGAACTGTCAAATTCACTGAAATTATATACAATTTATTGACTCTACATTTTATTAATTTGCACAGAA